ATATAAAGGTACCTCCCGATATTTAGTATTTTAGTTTTTTTACCACATTTTTTCACGGATTTGTCTGAAAATCGGTATTTGTTGGTCATAATGGGTTCTAGCTCCGGTGGCGAAACATTGTAATTATAGGTCCAAGTTTTGGTATAGCCCCCATATATCGGTACCTCCCGATATTCGGTAATTTGATGATTTTTGTCACATTTTTTCAGGGATTTGTTCGAAAATTGGTATTTGTTGGTCATAATTGGTTCCAGCTTCGGTGGCGAAACATTGCATGCATGGGTCCATCATTTGATATAGCCCCCATATAACGGTACCTCCCGATATTCGGTATTTTGATGGTTTTTGCCACATTTTTTCACTGATTTGTCTAAAAATTGGTATTTGTGGGTCATAATGGGTTCCAGCTCCGGTGGCGAAACATTGTAATTATAGGTCCACGTTTTGGTATAGCCCCCATATAACGGTACCTCCCCATAATCGGCATTTTAATGGTTTTTGCCACATTTCTTCTAATGTTTCTTTTACCCTAAGGTGGAGGGTATTAAACGTTTGGCCCGACCGAACTTAACGTTTTTTTACTTGTTTAAATCTCATCGGATGCTACCTTGCATTCCTCTTATTTTTCCTAGCAATATACATGAATATAGAAAAAGTAGGCATCTTAACATATGCCTATGGATTTATATTTCTCAGAAAACTAGACCTCCGACTAATTTCAATATTAAGATTGCGCTTGTTACAATATATTTTTCTATATTTTACAGATTTATTTAAAATTTTTCTTGGAAACATTTCAAAGTTCATTCATTGTTTATTAACGATTCTTCTACTTTACATGAATTCTAATTCTAATAATTGAAAATATTGATTTTTTTTTTTTTTTTGGTTTGTAGTACAATTTTCTCGATAATTTTATTTTGCCAATTTCATTGAAGATACTCACAAAGTAGGTCAATCCAGCAAAAGGCTTTGATGTAAACTTATTATTATATTGAGAATTACATTTTTTTAAATGTTGATTACCAAGATTTCCCTTCATTCGACCACTCTATTGATTCTTTATTTCGTCTTACCATAGGTCAGTTAAGGTGCTATAAACTTTTCTTTTTTGTTTGGACTTTATTCAAATATAAATTGAATTTTAAACATGGATATGCTAATTTATTGAATTAGAATTCTGTTATTTTTTTCCATTTGAATACGTACGTATTTCAGATTCGCTTATGACTAAATTTTCGTTTTATAACAAAAGTGAAATTAAAAGCGAAAATACACTTAATTCATTTGTATGAATGCGAAGAGAGGGGATATTTTCATTGCCGATAAGTAAAATCATTGTTGCTACTTCGTGGGTCATGGGAATCATTAATTTTAGGAAGACGCAAACGGTTGCCGTTGAGTTCCAGAAATGTTGGACTTTAACATAGCAATTGTTTCTACTTTGCAGCATAATGGTCTGAATATGCGAGATATTTTCTTCAAAATCGAGTATTGAAATAACTGAATGATAGATTGACAGAGTATCAACACCCAGACGAAACGGTTGAAGCTAGAATCTTGCAATTTTGCACGAGGGTCAGTCTTGTTACGTACGAGTATGATGAAGCTAGGTTTTTGAAAATATTGAATATTTTGTATTGGACAAACATAATGACCTAGAATTCGGAAATTTGGAATGAGAGTCACTGGTGAAGCAGGAATGAAGGGTTTTAGAAAATTCGAACAAAAAAAAAAAGGTCACGAAAAGTTATCTAATGGTACTAAACTTCTAAAATGGTACCAATTGGTATTATGTGAACGGATAGACGTGAAATTTGGTATGACTATCAGGTTGGAAAATACGTTTGATATATGAATGTGCTTGTGGAACAGCGTACTTAGTGCTAAATTGTACTAAATTGGGAACAGTTTGGTTTAAGGGTGAACGAATGAAGCTGGAATTTTGAATTTTTGTATCGGGGTCTAATACTAAATAATACTATATTTGGCACAATTTGATGTAGGGTAAACAGATGGTATTATGGTCTATGTTCATGGTTAGCCCGGACATATGGAGGTGGTTTCGGAAATGTGTATTATAATTGTTCGAAAAGTACTGAATGATTGAATGATAATTTAATATTTGTTGAAGGGATAGAGATAAAATTCTGAAATTTAATATTTATATAACTGTTGGTATTTGAGGTTGAGCTTAGGCGGTGCTTTGGAAATGTGTCCCATATTTGTACGAAAAGTACTAAATTTGATATTGGATGAAGGAATAGAGCCGAAATCCTCAAATTTGATACTGTTGGTATCTGGAATTGAGCTATAGAGGTGGTTTTGGAAGTGTGTGTTATAATTGTACGAAAAGTACTAAATGGTACTATATTAAGCCTTGGTTGAAGAGATAGAAATAAAATTCTGAAATACTAAATTGAACTAAATTTAGTATTGAGTGAATGCAAAGAGCTGGAATCCCGAAATTTGAAATTGAGATCTCTGTTGGTATCTGGTGTTGAGATCTGCTGGAAGTTTTGCAAATTCGTACAATAACTATATGAAAAATACTAAATGGTACTAAACTTGGTCTTGATTAAATGGGTAGAGCTGAAACCGTGAAATATTATGTTGCGATAACTGTTGGTTTTTATGATTGAGATTTGAGACTGTTTTGCAAATGAGTACTAAAATTACACGATAAGTACTAAATGTTACTAAATTTGGTATTAAGTGAATGTATAGAGCTATTATCCCGACATTTGATGTTGAGGTCTTTGTTGTTATCTGGTGTTGAGATCCTGCGGTGTTTTTGCAAATAGTACTAATTTTGGGTCACTGTTGGTGTCTAAAATGGAGAGATTTAGCCGTTATATTAGAGTCTACACGACGACGTGGACCCACATTGGCAACTTTTGTCATAAGCCATTACCATATTCAAATGCGAAACAAGATAACCAGACAATTTTCTGTCATAGGTTCCTTTACGAACTTAAAATACCAAATTTGAAACAATTCCTGTGAATAATGTCTCTAAAATCCTCAAAATACCCAATATCGGGAGGTGTCGTTATATGGGGGCTATACGAAGACGTGGACCTGCACAGGCAATTTTCTGTCCTAGGCTGAACACTCCACTGTGAACTTTAAATACAGAATTTGAATCATTTCCGGCGAATAATGTCGCTTAAATCACCATAATACCGAAAATAGGGAGGTACCATTATATGGGGGCTATAACAAAACGTGTACCTACATGGCCCATTTTCAATACCAAAAGTCTTGCAGACATAATATACATTTGAGTAAAATTTTATCAACCTACTTCATTTCGTTCGGAAGCTAGAGTGATTTCCACAGACGGACATCCCTTAGTCGACATACAATTTTATGCTGATCAAGAATATATATACTTTGTGGGGTCTAAAATGTATATTTCGAGGTGTTACAAAAGGAATGACAAGCTTAATATACCCTCTATATATGGTGGAGGGTAAAAAAGGCCCTTCTTGCTGACGAAGTTGAGAGCTCTTCCTAGTTTTGATATAAGAAAAAAAAACACAAAATATATTTTCAAAAAATTGCCAGTACGATAAATTTTCCAGTTACCATCCCCTTACCTTCCTCTCCTACGAACAAATACTTTCAAATTCGGGGTATTTGGTTATGGTTGTGCCTTCAGTATTCTGCAGTGTTATTGAAATTGACATTGTTAGTTTTGTAATTCATGCACACCCCCTATATAAATACGCCTATACATCGGTACCTTTTTTTTAATTTAAAAGCTGTATTCATTTCTATGGCCAACACTGTACCATCGAATGAATTTCTTATGTATGCGCCTAAAAGTATGCTTTAAATTATTGATAGTCCATTGCAGCTCAGTGTTTACATTGACAGTGAAACTATTGCTGCCTTAGAATGCGCGTATGTCGTTCGCATTACATATTTGGAGTATATTGACTTGTGTCGAATTACCGTTTCTATTGTTACAACCAAATTCTTCCACAAATGGTAATAGAAACCCACCAATGATAACTGATTCCAACTAAATACAACAGCGACATGCAGTACAAAAGCTGATGCAATGGAAATGTTCAATGCAGTCAGTCAGTCATACGGTGAAAGGAGAGAATACTGTGTGTTTAGGTGCTTCCATTTGCAGTTTTTTTTTTTTACTGACCAGACATGCATACGTACACACATACCACATTCTTTACCGTTCCATGCAACAAATGCTGAATCGGCATTTTGCACACAGTGTTTGGAAGTAGTTAAATTGAGCGTTTTGTAAGGTTTATGGAAAATTTTCCTAAATTTAGAAATTTAAGAATATTATTCCAATCAATAGTTTTTTGACATTTTTATTTTTTTGATTGTAAATTAAAAATAATGGGCCAAAGAGGGGAAGAGCTTTGCTAATAACCGCCTGTGAACAAAATGTTGGCGGCGAGTTAAGAAGAAGACGCTTTGCGCTGGATCGTTTTTTATTTTGTAATTTAATTGAAGCCTGAAATTTGAAACTGCCAACGCACACACAGACTGGCCGATCAACTAGCCAAGCAATTAATGTTGTTGCTGCTGCTAACGCTGCTGCCATTTGTGACAACAATTGAATGTTGCTCGTTCGCTAAACTCAATGGTCTGGTGTGGTGTTTTTTTGATCGTGTTGCTACAGCTTGTTGATAATTCAAAAGAATTTCACTACAAATTTAGCCATCGGAGAAGATAGTTGGTCATTTCAAGCTGCAGCCCTGATATTCTCTTAAAAGGAAATTGTCTTGCCTTTGCTAGGCATCAGTTGTCGTTAAGGTTTCTCAGAGTTAAGTTGGACGAAAAAAAAAACGGGAATTCGACAGAAATAAATAAAAACAAAATAACAATATTAAAACATGGCAAAAATGAATGAATCCTTAAACGAACCCATGGAATTAAGGCAGGTTTTGCGTTGTCAATCTTTTTTTTTTCAAAAATTTTGAAAAATATAATAATTTTTATTCCTTTTCTTTCTGTTACAGATACAAAATCCAGCCGCGTAAAGATGCTGAACAGGCTGCCTTGAATCAAACAGATTATGATCCATTTGCTGACAGACAAAATGAACATCCCACAACGTAAGTTTCTTCTGTCGTTTCCCCATTGATTTGAGGGTTATGAAATTTTAATATTTGAAATTGAATATTGAGTTTTTCTTATTTTCTTTTCCAGTGACAGTGAAACGTTGACGCATTTGCTGAAAGCCTCTCTGGGTACTGGCATTTTATCCATGCCCATTGCTTTTATGTACTCTGGTATTATAATGGGTATTTTTGCAACAATAGTAACCGCCTTCATCTGTACACATTGCAGTTATATTTTGGTAAGTTTTAAAATTAGATTGTGACAAAACTTATGGTGAAACATAAATTATTCAAAAATAACCGCGGTCTATGTGACAATGTAAAAAAAAAAAACAATTTCATTAATTTTGAAATTCCCAGCTATAAAACATTTGAAATGACGTGCGTACTTTTCCCAAGACGCATGTGAAATTGCATAAAAATTCGCCGACAAATATTTTTATCATTACAACGCAATTGATATTTAATAATTTAATCGAGTTCTTTAAAAAACAACAACAAACACACAATGGAAGAATTTAAAAAATGTGTAAAAGTGTCTAATATCACCTGGACCGAATCTCACATACCATTGTTGATAAACTCCTTCAGACCATTGTGAATGATAGCATTTACAACTAGTAAAGATGTTGTTAAATTCGTTCCGTCATAAACAAATCGCGAAGCTTTTATTTATTAAAATGAGTGCCTCTTTTATGTAAAGATCAGATTTGGATGTTATTTTTTTAGATTTGAAATAGAGGGGTAGAATACTCAATATCTTCAATACCTCAAAAATAGTAAGAATTGATTGGTACTATTTTTACTTGATTTTCGCCTAAAAGTATGCTCGTGCTTTGCTCGGATTGTCAAGTCTTCCCCACAGAGGACACTCGTAAAAGACATTAGCACCGTTACCGTACTTTTTATACCCTACACTATATATGTCTTTTTGCATTTGTTTGTAACATGGAGAAAGAAGCGAGATAGACCCATAGTTACTGTTGAGGATCTTCGTAGAATCACTTTCTGGGTCGATTTAAGCATGTCAGTTTGTCTTTCCGTCCGTCCGTCTGTCCTTGTATTTTTGTGAACAAACTGCATGTCTCCTTTATTGTCCGATGGAGATGAAATTTGGTCCATGGATAAACCCTATTGAAATTGGCGAGAATCGGTTCAAATTTAGATATAGCTCTCATATATATCTTTAACCGATTTCGGGTTAATTATGCACCAAATAGACAATATCAGTCTAAATGACCTGAATTTTGGCACATCGGATTTAATTCAGTCTAGAAACAAGGACTTCAAATTTGGGTAAAATTTCGGGTCAGATGTTGCTATAGCTCCTATATATATGTTTCATCCCGATTAGCGTCTTAATTCTACAACAATGATCTTTGGTACCAGATATCAGATGCAGCTCAGAAATACCTCTGTCAAATTTTATCGAGATTGGATCAGTTCATAGCACCCATGTATATCTTTAACCGATTTCAGGTTTTTTGTGCACCAAATGCCTAATATCAGCCCAAATGGATTGAATTTTGGCACTTCCGACTGAATTCATCAATGGTAAAAATATTTATTTATTCATTTTTTAATTATTTTACACATTTCATTCATTGATTGCCATCCCAGCTGTCACTGCATCCTGTTGCCTTGATACCTAGATGCTTTCTTTCCCCTTATTTGAGCTTCTGTATCTCCTCCACTTATTCTTCACTTCTGTTGAATTCCTGCAACTTTTTGACGCCTCCATTCTGAAATGAGATTGAAATAATTTATACTACAGATTCCCAGATTTATTATTCATCATTACCTTAGAGTTTCGTCCGGAAATGGGTCCTAAATTCGCGTGATTTTGATTTTAACCAAAGAAAATAATTTTTTGTTGACAATTTTCACCAAAAAAATCAAAACAAATTTGTCAACAAAGGACAGACTTGAGAAAAGTTTGTGCAAAAAAGTGTTTCTCAAGCATTGTTGAAAAATTCTTATGATAAACTATTTTCATAATATTATTCTCAAGCTGTATTGTATTTTTGGTATGTTGGGAAATTGTACAATTTTGTGATAAAACTGTATTGTCCTACAATTTTAGATTCAACTCTGTAGAATAACCCCGAATTCCATTCTTGTAAACAAAACCAACTGTTGCATATTTAACTTTGTTGTGCAAAATTGTTGCTTCCTATCTTTATTCGTTTTGACTCTAGCGCGATTACATTAGACGGACGGACTGGCAGGGCTACATTTAGAATTATACGCTGATCAAGAATATATATATATATATATATATATATATATATATATATATATATATATATATATATATATATATATATATATATATATATATATATATATATATATATATATATATATATATATATATATATATATATATATATATATATTCTTGATCAGCGTATAATTCTAAATGTAGCCCTGCCAGTCCGTCCGTCTAATGTAATCGCGCTAGAGTCAAAACGAATAAAGATAGGAAGCAACAATTTTGCACACCAAAGTTAAATATGCAACAGTTGGTTTTGTTTACAAGAATGGAATTCGTATAGCCCCCATATATCGGTACCTCCCCATATGCGACGGTTTGATGATTTTAGCTACATTATTCACCGAATTGTTTCTTCGTATAGACCATAATATAACGGCTATATTCGGTATTTTTAAGATTTTAACGGATTTATTTATTAATTTATTTTTTGTTTTTCGAAAATTTCGAAATTTGTTCCAAATGGTGGAGAGTATTCCAAGTTCGGCCCCGCCGAACTTACTGCTTTTTACTAGTTTTTATTTAAATACACGTGTCTATCCATATATCAAGAAACGTGGTATAAATCAATTCCGCATATATTTTATATTTATATTTTCTTGCATTTTTTCATATCGGCAGAGCTAAAATGCGGCAACTCGAAACCAACTACGTAACAACATTTTGTTCTTAAGTTTAAATTTCACATCACAATATGTGGTGTTATCTATTTTTTCAATGCATACCAATTATTGATGTTAATATGAAAAATAAAATTAAAAAAATGCTATCCACATTAGCTGATGTAATGTGAAACTATTTTTTGATTACATATTCTGGCAGGGAAATTGAACCAAATTCTTTTTATAATTTTGCAAAATTGCATTTATTTATTTTTATTTTTTTAAGTTTACATATTCTCTTTTTATGCCTATTGTTTTTATTCATGCTTCCATTTTCTTTCGTGTCATTTCAGGTGAAATGTGGCCACAAACTGTATTACAAGACACGGCGTTCACAAATGAGTTTTGCCGAAATTGCTGAAGTTTCATTTCAAAATGGTCCCAAATGGTGTCGTGGTTTTGCACCGGTAGCAAAATTCTCTATTTTGTTTGGCTTGTTCCTAACCTATTTCGGTACCTGTTCAGTGTACACTGTCATTGTGGCTAAGAATTTCGAACAGGTAAATATAGTTTGGAAAATTGTTGTCCATTACTTTTACTAATTGGTTTTAATTTCCCTTATAGGTCTTAAATCACTGGACCGGAACTGAAGTTTCGCTACGCATGCTCATCTCTTGTTTACTCATACCCTTGATTTTGCTCTCATGGATCCCCAATTTGAAATATTTGGCACCCGTTTCCATGATTGCCAATGTTTTTATGGGTTTGGGTCTGGGCATTACCTTCTACTATTTGGTACAGGATTTACCCTCCATTGAAACCAGAAATTATTTCCAAATGTCAACACTACCGGCATTCTTCTCGATAACCATTTTCGCCATGGAAGCCATTGGTGTGGTTATGCCATTGGAAAATAATATGGAAAATCCACGTCACTTCTTGGGCATTTGTGGTGTTCTCAGCCAGGGTATGTCTGGTGTCACCTTGATTTATATGTTTTTGGGTTTCTTGGGCTATTTGCGATATGGTGAAGGTACCGAAGAAAGTATTACCTTGAATTTGCCTGTTCATGAATGGTAAGGTGTTTGGAGTATACTCAAATGTTTCAATGTAAAATTTGTTTTGTTTTCCCGATTTTAGGCCTGCCCAAGCTGTTAAGGTTTTGATTGCTTTGGCTGTATTCTGTACATTCGGTTTACAGTTCTATGTCTGCCTGGAAATTGTATGGGATAGTATTAAGGAAAAATGTACCAAACGTCCAATATTGGTCAACTATGTTTTAAGGTAAGCTTAAATATTTGATTTCACTTTGAATTGAATCTTTGTAAAATTCAAATATGATGAAATAGACTTTACTTTTGGTCTGTTCCAGAACTGCAAGAATGTAAAAGTTTTTACTAGGAAACCCGAGTTTCCCTTTATGGTATCGAAAAATATTGCAAAACTAGTAGATTCTTGCATGTACAGGAACAGAGAATTTGTTTGTAAAATTTAGATGCAAAATGCTAACCATTGAGGATCTTCATAGAATTATTTTCTGAGTCGATTTATGCATGTCAGTCCGTCTGTCCATGTATTTTTGTGAACAATATGCAGATTTCATTTATTATCCGATTGAGATGAAATTTTCCAAACAATATTTGTTTCGCGGAAGGACGAATTCTATTGAAATTGGTGAGAATCGGTTCAAATTTAGACATAGCTTCCATATATATAGGGTGAGATAAAAAAACTGCAACAAAGTCAAAAGCCATAATTTTTACATTTTTTTTTTTTAAATTTTATTGAATGAAAGCCAAAAATGCCGGAAATAGCAACAAATTTTAGAATAAGCTTAGATTTGTTCGAATTGGTCATCTTTGGCACTTTGCTCTGCGGTATTTTGGCCCATTTCCGGCGAAGCGCTTGCTTGAGATGATCGAGACTTTGGTATTTTTTAGTGCCAACCTTGCTTTCCAAAATACTCCAGACACAATAGTCCAACGGATTGATATCCGGAGATTTTGGTGGCCATTGTGCGCTGGAAATGATGCGAGGAACCTCATTTTGTAACGATTCTTGGGTGGTGCGTACTGAGTGCCAATGGTGCTGAGTCCTGTTGGAATGTCCAAGGTCTGCGGCCAAAATTTTTGCGTGCCCAAGGCATTAATACACCCTCCAGAATATTTTTGCGATAATATTCGGCATTTATTTTGATGCCACGGTCGATTAATACGATCGGAGAGCGACCATCGGTTGTTATGGCGGCCCACACCATCACCATGGCAAGCGCTTGAGTTCTGGTGGCAATTCATTTTGTTTGTTTACAAACTGCTGGACAACGATTGTTTTCTCATCGGAGAAAACAGAATTCGGCAGTTCAACACTTTAGGCCAAGCGAAGCAACTCTTTAGCTCTTTTGAGTCTATTTTCTATCTGTTGCGGTGTGAGTTCTTGTACTTTTTGGAATTTTAACGGCTTTACTCCGACCTCATTTTTTAAATATTTGCCGAATGGAATATTGCGATATGTTCAGCTCACGACCTTATTTCGCCACTGCTACGCATGTTTCGTTCAAGTCGCTTCTTTACTTTTCGAACCATTTCTGCTGATGTTACTGTTTTTTCCGTCCACTTCCTTGACGTCGGGCTACGCTACCAGTATCACGGTAACGAGCGATGGTACGAGACACAAAAGATTTATTCACATTTAAACGCTGGAGTGCTCTAACGATAGCCACAATTTTGGGTTTCCAAGCAAATATAAAGAAATCACACTATCAAGCTTAAATTCCATCACGAATAACTTTTTTTCTGGAAATTTCTCACCAAAATGCTTTTGTACGCTTGTAAACAAAATAATGAGCTGTCACTGGAAAAATTTTAACAGCTGTCGGACGAGTGGTTTGGAAATGACAGCAGTCTGAAGTTGGTTGCAGTTTTTTCATGTGACCCTGTAATAGTCATAATTCCGAGGTACAATTAAATGGGAATTGTAGGAAAACCTGGATATATAAAGACAAGGTTGTGCCACAGGAGGTAGACGCCAATATAAACTGTGAATACCGACTTTTAAACTAATACGTTAAAAGGTTTGGCTAAAATCGTTAAAATACCGAAATGGAGAGGTACAATTATATGGGACCTATATGAATATGTTGACCAATATAGCTCGTCTTCGAAGTTGACCTGACTGCAGACAAAAGACAAGTCTGTGCAAATTTTTAGCTTCCTATCACATGCCGTTTGGACTCTAGCGTGATTACAACAGAAGGTGGGAAAGACATGGCTAAATCGACTTAGAAACTCTGATCAAAAATATATATAGTTTGTTAGGTCTATTTCCATGAGTTACAAACGGAATGACAAACTTAATATATCCTCCATACTATGTAGAGGTATAAAAATACAGAATTACAATTGCAGATGTGTATCCTTTAAAATACATATTTGTTTTGGTCTCAACATTGGATATTTTAATATTGTTACACACTATTAGGGTAGCCTAATTTTGAAAGTTATCGAATGTTAGGCCCTACCCGATTCACATAAAAATTATAATCTTTATATAAAATTAATGTTTTTTAATTTCTAAATCTCTTTATTTTTAGAACTGTCTTGGTAACCGCTGCTGTAGTTTTGGCTGTGTCAGTACCTACAATAGCTCCATTTATGGGTCTTATTGGTGCCTTCTGCTTCTCCATTCTTGGTCTGATATTCCCCGTAAGTTGTGAAATATTTAAAATAATTATTTTTCAAAGCAAATTATAACAAAAAACCTTCCTCTCTCCACCACACAGGTTTTCATTGAGATGGTCACACATTGGGACACTGGATTTGGTGCATACAACTGGATTGTATGGAAAAATATTGTCATCTTTTTGTGTGGCATTGCTGCCTTAGTATTCGGCTCGAATAGTGCCATTGCTGATATTATGAAATTGTATTCAGATGATACGAGTGCAGCCCCAGTTGCTGGTGGAATATCATAAGAAAACCCGAAAACTCCAAAGTTGTAAAAAAGCAAAGATGTTATTTACAAAATGAATCTAGTATTTGGTGCAAAATGCTATTTTTTAGAATATTATTATCGAAGAAGTGGAAGAAGAAAACAAAAGACACTTAATATTGAGAAGCTTTTTTGTGTTGTTTATATAACTGCTCCCTAACTATTGTTAGTGGAATATCTCTGGAGCTTAAATTACATATATATATAAACTTGCACATAGCAATATCAAGACAAAAAAATATAACAACATCTATTATTTTTTTTTTTAACAAAATGTTTTATGTATACAAAACAACAACAACATTGTGCACGCTTTTTGTAAGATATCTTTAAGAAGAACCACATCTACCGCAACTACATAATTAAGAAAATCCTGCATGATCTTTTTAAGAATATTTTCTCTAAACGAAACAGTGCCTTTATTTTTATATAAAACTCTGTTTCCTTTGTTTTGTAGTAACAACAAAATTATATGAATAGAATATATATATAAAACAAAATGGAGAAAAAATTTAGAAATTTAATATTATATTTATTAATTATCGTTTTTATTTTCGCTCTTTTTTTAATTCTATTTTATCTTTGTTAATTATGTTCCAAAGATAATGTTCTATTTTGTATTGCTCTTTGCCTGCTCTTTTTCGTATTAGACTTTAGTCTAGTGAAATAGAATAGAAGTTTATATATTTTATGTAATATTTAATTGCAGAAGATTTATTTTGTTTTATACATTTTTTTCTTTATCTCTATTTTTTTTTTTTTTAAATACCTCAATTTTTTATTTATAAATTTAAAAATTTATTGTAACAATCTCAGAATCAAAATCAAGTAGGAATTTTTGATACAATTTCGGGATTTAAAAATACAGAATCGAAGGAACTTATAAATAGCATTTATTTTCCAATAACTTTTTTAAGAGTTGTATTATTGATATCGAAATCGAATGTATACAAGAAGTGTCCTTTGATTCTTAATATTTAAAAAAAAAATCCATACCATTAAACATACAAATATTTTTGATTAATTATCAGTGGTTTTTATTTTGTTTTTTTAATTTGCAAATTTGTTTTTTTTAATCAATCTATTTAGTTAAACAATAATTGTTTGTAAATCTTAAACAAAATAGTACTCATCAAATTTATAAAAAGAAAAACTAAATATATTATTTTTATTTATTTTTTACACAAAAACATGGGTTTTATTTAAGTGGATTTAATAACAAAAGAGTTGGGAGGGGTCGGTTTTATGGCTCCCTATATCATTTTGGGTATCTATGAATTAATGTTTATAAATTTTGTCGTATTTAATATTTTTATATGGTAAATATTTTTAAAACATTTAAAAAAAAAATTCTTTAAATGATCCACTGAAATGCAAAGTATTAATTTCGGTTGGGTTGGAAAATACAGCAAAAGTATTTGATATTGAATAATCATCCTCCAGTTAAAACCCGTATTCCAAGGTAAATAAAAAATAGTTTTCAATTCTTGCTATGCGATCGATGCATAAATTTTTATTTGAGTAACCTTTACTTAAAAATTAACAAATATATTGACTAGTACTTACACTCACTAGCAAGTACCCGGTACTTCGTCAGCGAAAAGATTCATTCCAACAGTTCGTATTAGGACTAAAAATTTACAATTTGTTCAATTTGATAACGTTTTTTAATCAAAACTTTATACATCGTACTAAATTTTCAGATTTTCAGGGTTTTATATATGTATTATTCAAGTCTTTGCTTTTTCGGATAGAATAATAGGAAAATGTTTAACTTTTACCCCACAAAGTCTTCAAAATTTTCAATTTTGACATTTACCGAAGATGATATTAGTAAACCCATTGCACAATGGACCCACATCCAATTTTTCTCTCCAAAACTATTTCATTGTCTCCATATGTAATCCCCTAGAAACCAACATTGACCTTAATGTCAAATTTCAGAATTCCCTCTCTATTCGTTCTCTCAATACCAAATATAGAAGCATTTAGATCTTTTCGTACAGTTAAAGTACGTATTTTAAAAACAAACTCCACAGACACAAAAAGTGAATCTGTATCAACTTCAGGATTTCAACTCTATTCCTTTACCCAATACCAAATCTAGAACTTTTCGTACAGTTCAATATCAAATTTCGCGGTCTCATCCCTGTCCATTCACCCAATACCAAATTCAGTACACATATCCAAAACAATCTTCGTATCTTAACCACAGACACCAAAAGTGACATCTGTATCAAGTTTAAGGATTTCAATTCTTTTCCTTTTCCCAATACCAAATTTAGTACTTTTAGTGCAATTACTTTAGGACAATTTCCAAAAACCCCAACACATCTCAATCGCAGATACGAAGAGAGACCTCAGTATCAAATTTCGTGATTCTAGCACTATAACAAATTTGGTACCATTTAGTACTTTTGGAATAATCATAGTACACATTTCTAAAATCACCTCCATATCTCAATTCCATTTAACAACAGAGACCTCAATATCAAATTTGAGGTGTCCAGCCCTATTCCTTCACCCAATACCGAATTTAGTACCATTTAGTACTATTCGAATAACTATTGTCCATATTTCCAGAATCACCTCCATATTTTAACAACAGACAACAAAAGTGATATCTATATCAAATATTTAATTTCTATTCCTTCACCCAATACCAAATTTATTACCACATATTTCGTACTTTTCGTAAAATCATGGTACGTATTTCCTTATCTCAATTATAGATACCGACAGAGACCTCAACATCAAATTTAAGGCTTCCAGCGCTATCCCTTCACCCAATAAGAAATTTAGTACTTTTCGTACAATTATAGTACACATCTCCTCCTCCATATCTCAACTCTAGATACAAACAGAGACTTCAATATCAAATTTGAGGCTTCCAGTCCTATCACTTCACCCAATACCAAATTTAGTACCATTTAGTACTTTCTTAGCCACCAACACCAAAAGTGACCTCTCAACAAAATTGCAGGATTTCATCTCTATTGCTTCACCTAATATCAAATTTTGTACCAATTAGTACTTTTCGTACAATTGTAGAACACATTTCTAAAACTCCTCCATATCTCAATTTCACATAAAAACAGTTATCTAAATATCAAAAGTTTTATCTCAACCCCTTCACCCAATAACCAATTTAGTATCACTTTAGTACTTTTCGAACAATTATAGTACACATTTCCGGAACCACCTCCATATGTCCAGGCTACACATGAACAACGGCCCTAATTTCAAATTTCAAGCACTATCTGTTCAACCAATACCGAATTTTACCAAATATAGTAATATATATTGCTTTTCGAGCACATGTGGTACATATTTCCAAAACTACCTCTTTACCACAAACCTACAACCAACAGGTACCCCAGTACACATTTCCAAAACCACATTCATATTTCAAACTTACTTTCCAACCTTGATTCTCATCAAAAATGTTTAGCTCTATCCGTTCATATAGTACCAAATGGTACCATTTTAAAAATTTTCGTAACCTTAAAGGTGGTATTTCCAAGTGACTCTCATTCCAAATTTTAGAATTATAGCTCATTCCGTTTGTTAAATACAAAGTGTGTAATTTTTTTTGGTACATTTTAGTACTTTTCGTACTCATTTGTAAAAGTATCAACCGCCTACCTGCCAAGATTGACTTTCGTCTTGGTAAGCCGTTTTGTCTGGGCGGCTCAATCAGTCACTTACAGCTGATAAATATTCCTAGTGATCAAAATTGTAAATCCATTTAATGAATTAAAATCTCCCGATAAAATAAGGGTTCCAGTTTGCACATCGATAGTCCTTGACGTTATTATCGTACTATTATCTGCAATAGTAACGAGCGCTATATCGCCTGGGGCTTGCAATTCCAAAAAATTAGAGTCGATACAGTAACGGCGATGTTATATTAATATTAACAAGCCTCTGTCGAGGACAGCGCCCCTACATACATTTCCATAAACTGTCCATAAATAACGTATTTTTCCAATCTACCATTTTATGTCGTTTTTCCTTTTTCCATACCAACCTATTGCATCAAATCTAATCAATTAAAAATTAAAAAAATATGAGAGAATTAAACAATAGTTACGCTTAATTACCACAATTTCTGCACCAGCATTTAAAGGCAAAGAATGATTTGCAAATATTTTCCAAAAGAAAACCAGTGGATGCAATAATTTCGGCACAAAATTTCCCCATGGTCAGTCAGTAGGTAAGCAGCCAGCCAGTCACCTATCAGACGACGTTACTCGTTCAACATGAACCTTCGCAAATTCGCAATATTTCTCTGTCATTTTCAATCAATTCTCCAATCTGTGACATCCGAAATTTCTTTGAAGCAATGGGGCATACAATTAAACATAGCAAATCAATGTTTCGAAAAGGTAGTTGCAGATTATTTCCGAACTAAAACTCATATCCTTGGAGTGGCCGTCTATTTGGAATACTCCTGAGATTGGATGCATGAAATAGAGCGTTACATTACGCTGGCATTTGCTGGAAGAGATTCAATGAAATTTGAAACTTCTAGCCAGGGGAATAAGCAAAGCCTGCTGTATGGCTATAACTTATGGTATGTGGATTCGTATAAGGCTTTTTGGTAAGTCAAGCGATTATACTATGATGCGATATGAAAAGGCAAGTAAAGCAATTGCGGAAGTATCTTAGAAGTTTCGCCTAGGTGGATAATAATCATCATGGAAGTTATATATTGTAAAATTGTAATTTTGCTATAACTATGCTTAATACTCAATGTGAAGAAGTCACTTTACATATGACTAAGATAATATGTAATCTAGCTTATGTAATATGTAAAAATATTAAATGGTGCTGAATATTGTACTATCGATATGGAGAAAGTCGTGTGTGTGTGTGATTTTATTGAAAATGGAGGTCAGAGAAATAAAGCTCACGCTCATGTATTCAAAGTATAAAGGCCAGTTTCCACATCGTGGTAGCTAATGCCACAAAAATGTAAATTATAAAATGTTAAAACATCACTTTACATATAACTCTAACACGATGTGGAAACTGACCTTTAAAAGGCTGGTCTATGTCTGTCTGAAGCTATCGAGCTAGATGACCAAAATTAAAATCATGTTTTCCGATATGTAAACAATTTTTAACTTTGAAGAAATGCACACTATAGGTGTGTTCCAGAACCTGCATTATAGAACTATTTATATTAAGAGAAGAGTAAAGTAATTGACAGACTTTTTCATCAATGCCCAGATGAAATGGTTGAAGCTAGAATCTTCAAATTTTGGGTGAGGGTCACTCTTGGTCTGAAGGGGTCAGATAAGGCTGGGTTGTTGGAATCTACCTAGATTAATGAAAGTGTAAAGACATGGACTGACGACCTAAAGATTCATCAACGCCCAGATGAAACGGTTGAAGCTAGAATCTTGGAATTTGGAATTTTGAAAAGAACTAAAATGTACTACCTTTTCGAGTCCTGTGCACGGTTAGGGTTAAAAACTTGAAATTTGGAAAGGGAACCTCGGTTGAGGGGTAGAGTAGATGTACGGTGGTAGTTTTGGAATTGTACACTCATGTATACGAAAAGTACTAAACGGTACTTAATTTAGTACAATTTGAATTTGGAGGATTTATACTCAACATTACTGGCGGAGTGCAGGATTGGAATATAGAGAAAGTTTCCAAAATGTGTACTTATGTGCAAGAAAAGTACTAAATGGTACTAAATTTGGTATAACTTCGATTTGGGTGAACCGATAAAGCTGGAATTCTGAAATTTTGAAATGAGATTACTATTTCATTCTAGGACTGAGGGATGTAGGTAGTTTTGGAGATTCGTACTTATGTGTACTTAATGGTACTAAATTTGGAATCCTAAAGTTTGGAAATAAGATTCCTATTGGTAGTATTAAAAAATTGTACTAAAGTCTACTAAATGGTACTAAATTTGGTACGATTTAAATTTAGGTAAACCAATATAATTAAAAATTGGAAAAAATTGGTTTCGGATTTGGAAATGTAGGTAATTTTGGAAATTTATACTATGTGTACTAAAATGTTCCAAATTTGGTTTGATTTATGTGAACCAATACAGCTGGAATCCTGAAATTTGGAATTAAGATTACTGTTGGAGTATAGGATTTAGTTATGTAGGAAATTCGTACTTATATGTATAAAATAATGGTAAATTTGGTACAATTTGGATTTAAATAAACCTATAGCGCTGGAGACCTTTTATTTGGTATTAGTTTTGGGAGGTAAGGCTGGGGTTTTTAAAATTCGGTCTAGAAGTGTTTTAAAAGTACTAAATTTCGTGCCCTTTTGGTATTTTTGAATGGATACAGTTAAAATTTGAACATTTGATGTAAACATAAAGTTTGGTTGTTTGGAAATGTGTACTAAGTGCATCAACTGTCATAAATGGTACTAAATCTGATACAATTTAGTTCTGTTTAACCAAAATTTGATTTGGAAATTTAAAAAATGTAGCATTTTTCAAATTCGAATTATAATTTTTATACCCTCCACCATATGGAGGGTATATTAACTTTGTCATTCCGTTTGTAACTCCTCGAAATACTCATTTCAGACCCAACAAAGTATATATATTCTTGATCAACGTAAAATTCTAAGTCGATTTAGCGATGTCTGCCTGTCTGTCCGTCTGTCTCTCTGTTGTAATCACGCTATCTTTCGAACGAATTGAGATAGAAGGCTAAAATTTTGCACACATGTTTATTTTTTCAGTAGGCAGGTTAAGTTCGTAAATGGGCCATGTAGGTCCACGTTTTCATATAGCCCCCATATAACGGTACATCCCGATATTCGGTATTTTGATGATTTTAGCGACATTATTCACCGGAATTGTTTCAAATTTGGTATTTGAAGTTCGAAATGGATACTACAGCCTATGAAAGAAAATTATCTGTGCAGGTCCACGTCTTCGTATAGCCCCCATATAACGGTACCTCTCAATATTCGGTATTTTGATGATTTTAGCGACATTATTAACCGGAATTGTGTCAAATTTGGTATTTGAAATTCGTAATGGATACTACATTCTAAGACAGAAAATTGTCTGTGGATGTCCACGTCTTCGTATAACCGGCCAAATATAACGGTACCCCTCAACATTCGTTATTTTGATGATTTTAGCGTCATTATTCACCGGAATTGTTTCAAATTACGTATATAGAGTTCGTAATGGGAACTACAGTCTGTGACAGAAAATTGTCTATGCAGGTCCAGGTCTTCGTATAGGCCCCATATATCAGTACCTCCCTATATTCTGTATTTGGACTAGTTTAGGTACAATACCCACCGAAATTGTTCGATAAGTCGTATTTGAAGTTCGTAATGGATGCTACAGCCTACCGTTTACCGTTTATTTCAAGTTTCGAATTTGAATATGGTAATGACTTACGACAAGCAATACCTATGTAGGTCCACGTCGTATAGACCCCAATATGACTGCAATAATCGGTTTTTTTCAATTTTAACAGAATTTTTTAAGGATTTTATTTTTTGAAAATTTCTAAATTCGTTCCAAATGGTGGAGGGTATTCAAAGACCCAACAAAGTATATATATTATTGATCAGCGTAAAATTCTAAGTCGATTTAGCGATATCCGTCTGTCTGTCTTTATGTTGTAATCACGCTATCTTTCGAACGAATTGAGACAGAAGGTTAAAATTTTGCACACATGTTTATTTTTTCAGTAGGCAGGTTAAGTTCATAGGTGCACGTTTTCATATAACCCCCATATAACGGTACCTCCCGATATTCGGTATTTTGATGATTTTAGCGACATTATTCACCGGAATTGTTTAAAATTTGGTATTTGAAGTTCGAATTGGATACTACAGCCTAAGACAGATAATTGTCTATGCCGGTCGAGGTCTTCGCACATCTCCGATATAACGATACCTCTCTATATACGATATTTTGATAATTTTAGCTACATTAGTCACCGTTTATTTCAAGACATGACAATGACATTGTCTATGTAGGTCCACGTCGTATATACACCAACGTAACGGCTATATCCGGTATTTTCAAAATTTTAATAGAATTTTTTAAAGATTTTATTTTTTGAAAATTTCCAAATTCGTTCCAAATGGTGGAGGGTATTCAAAGTTCGGTGTATTCGGTCGAGCATGCTTGTCAGATTCAGATTGGTTAAAATGTTGATTTCAAAGTTTGTTATTTTTTTGCTCGTTTTCCGTTTCCGTGCTTTCTAGGCTAATCAGTTCCCAAAAAGTGAATGTAACATCTCTCTCCTTTGTGTTTAATAACACAAATTCAATTTTTTCAATAATTACGCGGAAAATCCATCAGAAAATTCTAAAGAAAAGTTGATAAAAAATGTGGAAATATTTTCGTTTAGGTATGATTCTCTACGTCTTCTACTACCTATAGTAGAATTTTATGACAAATAATTTGGTAGTAAACATATTTAAAAAAAGGACCAAAAAACTCCTTTATGGACTCGCTTGAGGGTTAACATTTCCGGTTCAGATATAGCTATAGCTCCCATATATGTGTTTCATCCGATTTGGTTTTTAAGTCCCTCACATTCATAATATTCACTCCACAACAATGATATTTGCTACCAGATATCACATACAGCCCAGAAATACCTCTGCCAAATTTTACCGAGATCGATTCAGATTTGTATATAGCTCCCATATATATCTGCAACTGATTTCGGATTAATTATGCACTACATGACCAATATAAGTCCAAATGACATGAATTTCGGCACATCCGGCAGAATTCTGTTTAGAAGCAAGTACAACAAATTTGTTGAAAATCAATTCATAATTGGATATGCCTCCCATATACAGGGTGAGATGAAAAACCTGCAACCTGCGTGATATTGTGATTTCTTTATATTTGGCTGGAAAACCAGAAGTGGCTATCATTACAGCGCTCCAGCATTTAAATGTGAATAAATCTTTTGTGTCTCGTAACATGGCACGCTACCGTCATACTGGTAGCGTAGCCGGACGTCAAGGAAGTGCACGAAAGAAAACAACAACATCAGCAAAAATGGTTGGAAAAGTAAAGAAGTGACTTGATCGAAACCCGCGTCGCAGTGACCGAAAAATGGCTTGTGAGCTGGACATATCGCAATATTCCATTCGGCAAATATTGAAGAAAGAGCTCGGGGTAAAGCCATTGAAATTCCAAAAAGTGCAAGAACAAGAAAACCGCACCATCGCACTTAGCACGCGCCACCCATGAATGGTTACAAAATGAGGTTCCTCGCTTCATTTCCAGCTCACAATGGCCACCAAAATCTCCGGATACCAATCCGTTGGACTATTGTGTCTGGAGTATTTTGGAAAGCAAGGTTGGCACTAAAAAATACCAAAGTGTCGATCACCTCAAGCAAGCGCCTTGCCGAGAATGGGCCAAAATACTGCAGAGCAACATTTGGGCAGCGTGTGACGGTTTTATCGGTAGTTTGAAGGCAATAATTCGTGCCAAAGGTGATCAATTCGAATAAATAAAAACTTATTTTAAAATTTGATGCTATTTCCGATATGTTTTGCTTTCATTCAATAAAATTTAAAAAGAAATGTAAAAAATATGGCGTTTGACTTTGTTGCCGTTTTTTTATCTCACCCTGTATACGAAATTTGAAATAATTCCGGTGAATAATGTAGCAAGAATAATGAAAATACCGAATATCTGGGGGTACCGTTGTATGGGCGCTATAATAAAACGTGGACCTACGTAGATTATTCTCTGTCAGCGGTAAAATACTCATAAAGAACTCCTTGTGTACAATTTCAGACAATTCCATTGAAAAATGTGGCTGGGGGTACTGTTATATGGGGGCTATACGCTCCTTAACTAGTTAGAGAATCGTACTAATTAACGTATTTGCATTTCTTTCAGCGCTCTCTTGCCGGCAATTGGGAGAAATGAATATGTCCAAAAACTGGGTCAGTATATGGTGGTTATGAAAACTGCCAAACATCTGAATGGTGACCAGGAACTGCAGAGAATTTTTCAACACGCCTACGAGCATAGGATTCTCGATATTACAGTGGTCATGTACCGGAAGCGGTTTATTTTCGCATTATACACCTATGATGTTTTTCATCCGTCAAATTGTCGACATGTGGTTATACAAAAATTTAACACATTTGAGGGCGGCCATTTGACAAGTGGCGACATTTTCCCCATAAAGTTACAAAATTTACATAAATGTCCCATTGATGTTTTTGTGCATCTAACCGAACCATATTTCAATTATTCCCTCGATGTCGTTAATGGGGAATTAACAAATTTTTGGGGTTTGGAGGCATGGATTTTGAGAATCATGGCGAAAAAGCTTAACTTCAAATTACGGCTGCAACAGTCGAGAGGCGCAACCATTGGCCTTGTATTCGAAAATGGTACTATAACAGGTCCATTCCTGGCAATGACCCAGGGAAAAATTGATGTACTTGTGGGCTATTATCATTCTAGGGTTCGGGCTAGTAGGTTTGGCGTGAGCATGCCGTATTTACTAACACCATTGGTGTTGGTGATACCCAAGCGAGAGAAACGCACTTTCGAAGGTGGATGGCTGTTGGTTCCATTCCAAAATGATGTTTGGCTGCTGCTCTTAGTCTCCCTGATGTTTGGATTAACAACATTCCTGGTGCTTCGTTACACTCTAAACAATGCTGCTGTGGCTCAAAACTCATGGTTGGATGTGGTAGGCCTGGCTTTGGGCAGTTCCCGAAACATCCGCTATCATAGCATGGGTACAAAATATTTTGTTATGCTATGGACTTTTGGATTTGTCATTGTGTGGGGTGCATTTCAGGGTAAATTGTATGGAGCCTTTCATATTGATGTGGTCCCGCCAGCCCATACAGTGGAGAATTTAGTAGCGGACAACTATACATTCCACATTCGAAGGTATTTCCGAGGAGATTTGATAGAAGCTTTAAACATTCCCCCAACACAAATCGTATTCACAGACGTTTCCGAAACTCAGAGTGATTTTATGGCCCAACTCCAAGCTCCACATCCGTATGTCATAATGACCGATTACTGGCTATTTCAGAACTTTCTCAAAACTCACAATATGCATGACAGATTTGAAATAATTCCGCACATTCTAATCTGGAATCAAATGTGTGCCTATTTCAGGCCAAAATCGTTTTTAATTGAACCGTTTGATCGAATTTTTGACGCCCTGCAGTCGGGGGGCTTAATTAAGAAATGGCTGGAGGAGGTCGGAGAACAAATTCAGGTGTCGGTCTCAATGAAAAATGTTCCAAATACAGAGCCCGAACCACTGTCACTGACCAAAATGCTAATCGTATTTAAAGGTCTTTTGGTTCTGCATGTCGTATCGTTGTTGGTGTTTATGGGTGAAATTGTATTATCGAAGAAGAATTTGAATCGGAAAAAAGTTTTGAGAGAACTAAGAAATAAGATTAAAAATAAAATAATTAACCATTAATGTTTATATTATTTGTTTTTATTGCATATTTTATTACACTTAGGGTCTTACTATGGATCTCAACTCCTTTTGAGAGTAGCAAACGAAGAGAATTTATATTTATTCTCTCAATTATTGCAAGGAGAGTATATTAATTTTGTCAATCCGTCTGAAACAACTCGAAATATTAGTCGGTGACCCTATAAGGTATATATTCGTGATCAGCACGAAATTCTAAGTCTATAAAATGTCCGTCCGACAGTCCTTGGAGGATGCCAGTGGAGGTTATTGAAAGTCCCGTCCGATCGAACTTAATGTTTTTATACCCTCAGACATATGGATACAGAGAATATACAGGGTGACATAAAAAACTGCAACAATGTCAAACGCCATAATTTTTTTTTATACCCTACAACACTATGTGTTGGGGGCATTATAAGTTTGATTGGGCCAAAAATAATGCAACACCTCGAAATATTGGTTTCCCACATAGGAATGTGTATATGGATCTCCTATCTCGCCGAGATTAGTCGATCTATCTATGTATGTTCGTCTTTCCGACTGTCTATGTTAATTTGTAATCACTTTACAGGTCGCAATTATGAACCGATCCTCACGAAATGAAAAATGGAGGTGGGGTTAGGGTCAGAATAGAACCCTATTGTTTTTGGAGATGATCGCACGATATTTAGGGGTTGAAATAGACCAAAAACACAAAATTTTCCTGATTTTGCAGTTGCTCTATAGGCCACAACAATGAACCAATCGACGCGAAAATTTACATGGAGTTAGAGTTTAGGACTGGGCAAAAACCTACCAATCGGACAATAATTAGCGGCTAAAATAGACCCCAACTTTTATGTAAGAAAATAGGAATTTTCCACTAAACCACGAATATTTTTAATCCCAGCCAAATCACAAATACATTAAAAGATCACTTTTGACAATTACAGTCATTCTAATAGCCAAGAAATCGGATATATAGCAAAATAGGTACAAAATATATGTAAAAGAATTGATCTTATTTATTCTGCTTATAGATCAGGAACCGCTGGGCCTATTTTCACAATTCCCGTAAAACGATAAAATCTAACCAAATCGCGGGAAAATGTACCAATAAAACAGTGAATATCTCTTGTCGATTTTTTTTTTTCAATTTTTTCATATTTTTAATCACATGACTATAACTTTTGCTGATTTGTTTTTAAATATTATTGAAAGAAAGCGAAAAATGTCGGGAATATCCTTAAATTTTGGAATAAGTTTAGATTTGTTCGAATTGGTCACCTTTGGCACGAACTATAGCTCTCAAACGGCCAATGAAACCGTCACACGCTGTCTGAATGTTGCTCTGCGGTATTTTATCCCATTCCCGGCGAAGCGCTTGCTTGAGGTGATCGACACTTTAGTATTTTGTAGTGCCAAACTTGCGTTCCAAAATACTCCCGATACAATAGTTCAACGGATTGGTATCCGGAGATTTTGGTGGCCATTGTGAGCTGGAAATGAAGCAAGGAACCTCATTTTGTAACCATTCTTGGGTGGCGCGTGCTGAGTGCGATGGTGCTGAGTCCTGTTGGAATGTCCAAGGTCTGCGGCCAAAATGTTTGCTTTGCGTTCTCAAGGCTTTAATACACCCTCCAGAATATTTTCGCGATAATATTCGGCATTCTTCTGATGCCACGGTCGATTAATACGAGCGGAAAGCGACACACCATCGCCATGGCCGGCGCTTGAGTTCTGGTGGCCAACCGAAGGTGCACGTTTTCAGCTGACCTCTTTGGCAAGTTAACACGATAATTTTGTTTGTTTACAAACTGCTGGACAACAAATGTTTTCTAATCGGAGAAAGCCAAATTCGGCAGTTCACCACTTTCGGCCAAGCGAAGCAAGTCTTTAGCTCTTTTTTAGTCTATTTTATTTCTGTTGAGGTATAAGTTCTTGTAGTTTTTGGAATTTCAATGGCTTTACTCCGAGCTCATTTTTCAATATTTGCAGAATGGAATATTGCGACATGTTCAGCTCACGAGCCATTTTTTGGTCACTGCGACGCTTGTTTCGATCAATTCGCTTCTTTACTTTTCGGACCATTTCTGCTGATGTTGCTGTTTTTTTCGTCCACTTCCTTGACGTCGGGCTACGTTACCAGTATCACGGTAACGAGCGATAGTACAAACACAAAAGATTTATTCACATTTAAATGCTGGAGTTCTCTAACGATAGCCACTTGTGGTTTTCCAGCCAAATATAAAGAAATCACACTGTCACGCTTGAATTCCCTCAGGAATAACTTTTTTCTGGAAAATTCTCACCAAAGTGCTTTTATACGTTTGTAAACAATATAATGAGCTGTCACTGAAATAATTTTAAAAGCTCTCGGACGAGTGGCTTAGAAATAATAGCAGTCTGAAGTTTGTTGCAGTTTTTTCATCTCACCCTGTACATCTGTCGGCAAAACCGACTGATAATTTTTAACGTGTTTCCTCGTTTTTTTTTTTTTTTGTCTAATTATTTCTTGTTGATAATTTATTAGAGTTATTTGGTGTTGTCTTACAACAAACAACTTATCTGAGGAAATTTATGGCAAATGCCTGATATAACTAACACGCAAACAATGTGGGGATAGTGAAACCAATTATTACTTCACGACAAACAAATGAAGGCTACATGATACCACTTCTATCTATCACTTAAACATCTGAATTAGTTACTTTAATGCCAATTTCGATCTATCGATGGAAATGGAATAAGTATTCATCAATGTTAAGATAAGTTTTCACTGTGTCAAATTCAAGGGGCTTCACTAAGATATACAGGCTATTGACAATTCTGTTAAAATCTTTAAATTACCTAATATCGGAAGGTGCCGATATATGGGGGGATATACGATATTGTCTGGGGGTAAAGTACTCACAAGGAACTCCTTGTGTGGTTTTTTAGATAATTCCATTGGGAAATGTGGCTAAAATCATCAAATCCCGAATATCGGGGGTACTGTTACATGGGGTACATACGATATTGTGGACCTATATAGACAAACACCTTTCAGGGGTTAAAGTGCTCACAAAGAACTCCTTGTGTGAATTTTCAGACAATACCATTGGAAAATACAGCTTAAGTCATCAAAATACCTAATATCGGGGGTACCGTTATATGGGGGCTATACGATATCATTAACCTATATAGAGAATTCTATGTCAGGGGTTAAAGTGCTCGCAAAGAACCCCTTGTGTGGATTAACAGACAATTCCGTTGAAAAATGTGGCTAAAATCATAAAAATACCGAATATCGGGGGTACCGTTATATGTGGGATATACGATATTGTGGATCTATATAGACAATTCTCTTTCAGGGGGTGAAATACTCATATAGGACTCGTTGTGTGGAATTTCAGACAATTCAATTGAAAAATGTGACTAAAATCATCAAAATACCGAATATCGGGGGTACCGTTGTATGGGGGCTATTCGATATCGTCGACCTATATAGATAATTCTCCTCCGAGGTACAATGTACCCACAAGGAACTCCTTGCGTGGATTTTCAGACAATTCCGTTTGAAAAATGTGGGTAAAATCATCAAAATACCGAATTTTGTGGGGTACCGTTGTATGGGGGCTATACGATATCGTGGACCGATATCGCCCATCTTCGAACTTGACCTGTCTACTGGAAAAATAAACACGTGTGCAAAATTTTAGTCTTCTATCTCAATTCGTTTAGACTGTAGCGTGATTGCAACAGACGGACGGACGGACGGGGCTAAATCGTCTTAAAATTTTACGCTGATCAAGAATATATATATTTTGTTGAGTCTAAAATGATTATTTCGACGAGTTACAAACGGAATAACGAACTTGATATACCCTCCATACTATGTATGGTGGAATGTATAAAAAAGTTAAATGTTTTGGAAACTCCCATCTCTGTAATGAACACTTATTAAATTTTGTTTCGATCTGGCAACTCATTCCATATAGATTGTGAAGTCTGAGGTAAAGTACAGCAAGGTGTTGCAAATGAAATCAAAAATTTAACAATTTTTCTTTAAAACAGTGTTTGGCTTGCTTGTTTGGGATACCATAGTATTTTGTTGTTGCAAAATCGTCAGGCAAAATCCCATTATTGTTGTTTTTATAAAAACAACGTTTGTTTATGAGTGGAGAACGATGGTAATGTTTACCAGGGGGTAAGGCAGGGAATACCTAGGTTTCGGAAAGAGCCACCAATCCTCATCAGTTCCCTTGTTTCTCGTCTGGGATATTCTCCCCAGAAGTTATTTTAAAAAATAACTTCTATGACAAAAAACATTTTTTACCCAAGTGACGAGATCGTAAGCTTGTTGTAACAGACAAAACAAACTTACATGGTTATGTTACTTCGTTCAGGTTGAACGAAAGCATAACAAGTGGAGAAAGATGTAAATGTTTATAAGTGCGGTTGTAAGATTTAGAAGATTTTCCAAAAGAATTTTAGTTTTATGTAATTCTTTTGTTCCTCTTCTATTGAGCTTACGATCTCGTCACTTGGGTAAAAAAAATGTTTTTTGTCATAGAAGTTATTTTTTAAAATAACTTCTGGGGAGAATATCTCAGACAAGAAACAAGGGAACTGAAGAGGATTGGTGGCTCTTTCCGAAACCTAGGTATTCCCTGCCTTACCCCCTGGTAAACATTACCATCGTTCTCCACTCATAAACAAACGTTGTTTTTATAAAAACAACAATAATGGGATTTTGCCTGACGATTTTGCAACAACAATTTTTCTTTAATATACACCCTCTCTGCCTTTTGTTGAAAGACATAAAATGTTCATAAATAATTTTTATTTTATTTTTGTATCCCCAACTACTCTTCACTTCAAATATGTAAGCAATCAGTGCCAGGGACTAAGGGGACTTTTAACAATATTTAATTTTTATTGCCACAAATATTCTCCAACGGAAGAATATTTAAAGCAGCAATTCTCCCACTAACCACAGCAGTCAGACAACGTTTTGGTGTTCAACATGTGCCGTCATAAATTCGCAACATTTCTGTGGCTGTTACTATCAATTCTGCAAGCGGTGGCATTATTGAATTCTTTGGAACAATGGGGCATACAATTCGATGAAACAAATCGTAGTTTGGAAAAGGTTATTGCAGACTATTTCCGCGCGAAAACTCCTTTGCTTGGTGTTGCAGTTAATCTGCAATACACCTCGGATTGGGTTTATAAAATCGAACATTATCTGTCATTGGCATTTGTCGGAAAAGACTTGATGAAATGTGAGACTTCTACTGAGGGGAAGAAACAAAGTTTCTTGTTTGCCTATAATTTATGGTATGTGGATTCATATAAGGCCTTTAGGTAAGTATTAACACAGAAAATCCGAAAATCTTTTAATTTTTTATTCAAATTTAAATATAATTGCAAATGCCTACAGCTCCTTTTGCTTTATCTTTTAGGCAAAAGGTCAATTTTATCATTTGTATAATTTTGGTAAAAGCCATGAAACCACTGAGAATCGTGGCAAGGATTTTTGCTTTAGAATTAGAAAAAGGGATTCCATCCATATTTTGAAATCAATCTAAATTTTGTTTTGTACATTTTAGTACAAAAAAAAAAAACACCGAACGCGTACTATGTCCTTCCATTCAAAATTTTATCTTAACCTATCTGCCCAATACCAATACCATCAAAATTAGTATCACTTATAATCTTGTTGCAAATCATATGCTAATCTAAACCCTTCCGAAAATATATTTCTATTTTTTATATTTTAGAATTTTTTATTATACCCTACAACACTATGTGTTGGGGGTATTATAAGTTTGATTGGGCCACAATTTATGTAACACTTCGAAATATTGATTTCCCACATAGGAAAGCATATATGGATCTTCCTATCTCGCCGAGTTGAGTCGATCTAGCTATGTATGTCCGTCCGTCCGTCTGTCCGTCTGTCCGTCTGTCCATGTTAATTTGTAATCACGCTACAGGTCGCAATTATGGCCCGATCCTCACGAGATTGAAAATGGAGGTGGGGTTAAGGTCAGAATAGAACCCTATTTCTTTTGGAGATGATCGCATTATATTTAGGGGTTGAAATGGACCAAATACTGAAAAAATTTCAGATTTTGCAGTAGCTATACACGTCGCAATTATAGCATGTAGCTAGAGTTTAGGGCGGGGAAGAAGCCTACCAATTTGGGTGGTCATCGGATAATATTTAGCGGGTAAAATAGACCATATCTTTTGTGTTGAAAGAATTCAAAATTTTTCATTAAACCGCGAATCCCGGCTAAATCACAAAGCCATGACAAGGCTACTTCTGATCTTTACATTGATGTTAACATCCAACAAATCGGATATATAGCAAAATACGTGCGATATATATGTCTATCAAAGAAGATATGCTTGAAAGATCTCATATATGTCGAGAACGGCTGAACTGATTTCGACAGTTCTCATTAATGAAGAATGGCCTCTTGGCATGAAAGAAAAAACGTCTAAAAAAATCGCATAAAAATATCCCTTATTAAAGATGAAAATATTGATTTTGTAACATTTTCTCATATTTTTTCAATTTTGTCATATTTTTGGCATATTTTCATTTAGAATTAAACATTTGGTAATATTTCTACAGCTAACAAAACTAAGTAGTTAGGATATCAGGATATCATATACAGATCGAATTTATGGCCCGATCCTTACGAAATTTTGCATGGGTATAAGATGAGGGTCAGAATAGAAGCCTACTCTTTTTGGAGATGATCGCAATATATTTAGGGGTTGAAATGGACCAAAAAACTGCAAAATTGTCAGCAGGTCGTAATTATCTCCCGATCCTAACGAACATTTGAATGGGGGTTACCGGACATTGCAAAAGCCAAGCAGTTTCCAAAAATATTCAATGTGTGAAATAGTTTGCCAACTTTTGTAGACAAAATACGAAAATGTCCATTCCAGCGACTTTTTGGAGCAGCAGGAAAGACGCACTTCTGACTATTTCGTTAACGCTGATTTCGTTGAAGAATATAGTCAAATGTCTGTATCCCATATAGATGTGTTTCAGTCAAAAACCAATAATAAATGCTAATCTTTTGTCACATCTGAGAGGTTATAGGTCTTTGGGAAATATTGGTTCCAGATCTAGGAAGACCATTTACGTGCAACATCTACCAATAAATTGGAAATGAGCAAATTAGTTTAAGTTGCTATTATTCGAAAATTAGAGAACGAAACCTGATGGATTTCGTTTATTATTTGTCACAATATCTTGTGGAATTCTTCCGAGTATCTCGCCTATATAAATTGTTTATTATAGTGTTGTAGGGTATTCAACGGTCGGCCCCGCTCGACTGTAGCCTTTGCTTACTTGTTTTATTTCAGGTACAACAATGAACTTGATTTATTTTATGCTAGCAAGATCCTGCTATTTCATCAGTAAAAGCCCGCCCTAATTTTAGATTCGTTCCAACAGTTCGTATTAGGGCTTTTTATACCGTACCCCAAAAGATGGTCAGGGTTTTATGTCTTTGTGCATTTGTTTGTAACAGGCAAAAGGAAACGAGATAGACCCATAGTTCCTTTTGATGATCTGCATAGAATCACATTTTGAGTCGATTTATGCATGTCCGTCCGTCAGTCTGTCCATGTATTCTTGTGAACAAAATGCAGGTCGCATATATTATCCGATTGGGATGAAATTTTGCAAACAACGTTTGTTTGGCCCAAGGACGAACCCTATTGAAATTGGAGATAATCGGTCAAATTTTTGATATAGCTCCCATATATATCTTCGTCCGATTTGCCTTTTATTGTGCACCAAACGTGTAATATCAGCCCGAATAGTATGGAATTTTGCACATACAACCAAATTCGGCCTGAAAATAAGTATGTCAAATTTGATCGAAATCGGTTCAGATATAGCTATAGCTCCCATATATATTGTTCATCCGATTTGTTATTTTTGTCCTCCGCAGCCATAATATGCACTCTGTAACAACAATATTTGGGGAAATATATTAAATACAGCTCAAAAATAACTTTGTTAAATTTTAAGGAGATCGGTTCAGATTTGGATAAAGCTCCCATATATAACTTCGTCCGATTTATCCTTTTTTGTGCACCAAACGTCTAATATTTGTCCAAATGGGATGGAATTTGGCACATGCAACCGAATTGAGTCTAGAAGCTAGTATGCCAAATTTAGTGAAGATCGGTTCAGATATAGCTATAGCTCCATATATATTGTTCATCCGATTTGTTGTATTTGTTACCCACAGCCATAATATGCACTCCGTAACAACGATATTCAGGGAAATATATCAAATACAGCTCAGAAATATCTTTGCCAAATTTTATCGAGATCGGTTCAGATTTGGATATAGCTCCCATATATATCTTTATCAGATTTCAAATTAATTTTGCACCAAATGGGCAATACAAGTCCGAATTTAAAAGATACAAATGCTTCGGCATATTTAGTCCCTTGAACTTTAAATAATAATTATAATCATAGCATGTACGATTAAATTCTCCCATAAAAACTTTTAATTGTTATGCGGAGCTCCACTATATTAGCAAAGTGGTGTAGGGTATTATAAATTCGGCACCGCCCGACTTTAGGACTTTCTTTACTGGTTTGAACTCAAAATCCAAAATTTGTTCAGTTTGAAAAAAAATGTTATCAAAACCTTATACATTTTGCTAAATTTTTTGACTTTCAATGTTTGATATATTGTTCAAGATTTTTCTTTTCGGAAAGAATAAAAGAACATTTTTTTCTTTTACACCAAAAAAGTTTTAAAACCAATACACAATGGACCCACATCCACTTTTTCCATTTCAACATCCAATTTTTCCATTTCCATCAAATATTTCAACGTCACCTTATGAAAACTATAGAAACCAACAGCGACCTCAATATCAAATTTCAGATTTTTACTACGCATATCCGAAACAACGTACATCTCTCCATCCTAGACACCCTAATTTGTACCATTTAAAACTTTTCGAACAATTATAGTACGCATTCGCAAAACCACCACCAGATACCCACAGTGACCTTAATATCAAATTTGAGTTATATTCCTTGGTCCAATACCAAATTTAGTAACACTTGGTACGCATATCCAAAATATCAGAATCACTCTATATTCTGGAAAACAACATTGATCCAAAATTAGTATCATTTAGTATTTTACGTACAATTATGATACACATTTCCAAAACCACTCTATTCTAGCTCTACCCATTCACTTAATACAAAATTTAGTACTATTTAGTACTTTTCGAAAAATTTTAGCCCGAATTTTCAAAACTCTCTCGACATCTCAACCTCCGACGATTTCAGCTATGTAATTTCAATTATTACCAAATTTATTCACATTTAGTTCAATCATAGTACGCATATCCAAAATCCGCTCCTTCTCTCAACCACAGACATCAAGAGTGACATCCGAATTAAATTTCAGGATTCCAGATATCAACAGAGACCTGAATATCAAATTTGAGAATTCCAGACCTATCCCTTCACTCAATACCAAATTTAGTACCATTTAGTACATTTCGTACAAATAAAGGACGAATTTTCAAACTACCGTAAAATTAAACACAAATTCCATAAGTTATCTAAATATGAAATTACTGAATTGTATCTCTATCCCTTCAGCCAAAATCAAATATAATACCATTCAGCACTTTCCGTACAAGCGACCCTAATGCCGAATTTCAGATTTCAAGCAATACCAAATTGAATCAAATATAGTATTATTTAGTATTTTTCGTGCACACATCTCTACAACCCTTTTTCACAAACCTGCAACCCCAGTGCAATTTTTCAAAATTCTACCTTCATACGTTCACCGCAAATATTTGGAGTCGATCTAGCGATGTCCGTCCGTCTGGCTGGCGCGCACGATAACACTCGTAGGGAGTATCCGATTCGGTCCAATCTTGGTACATAGTAGTATTATCATCAAGCTTAGATCGAGTTCGGAGATGGGTAATATCAGTCCACTCCTTCTGGTACAACCCCCACAAAAGGTCGAAAATGTAAAAGACAAGGTTTTACTGCACAGGAACAGAAAGGATTATCCGATTTTGTTTTAACTTTGCAAATCCTATGTATTTGAATTTGAATATGTGCTAGGTCGGGTGCGAAAATGTTGAATATCGGTCCACTCCATTAAGTACCTCTCCCACAAACGGTCAAAATTTGAAATACTTATATATCTTACAAAATGTGAACAAGTTAAAAAGCAGTAAGTTCGGCCGGGCCGAACTTTGAATACCCTCCACCATTTGGAACGAATTTGAAAAATTAAAAAAAAAAAAACATAAAATCCATAAAAAATTCTTTTAAATTTTTAAAAATACCGAATATAGCCGTTATATTGGGGTCTATATGACGTGGATCTACATAAGCATTGTTTGCCATTAGCCATTACCATATTCAAATTCGAAACTTGAAATAAACGGTGAATAATGTAGATAAAATCATCAAAATATCGTATATAGGGAGGTACCGTTATATCGGAGCTGTGCGAAGACCTGGAACAGCATAGACAATTTTCTGTCACAGGCTATAGCATTCATTACTAACGTTAAATACGATATCTCAAACCATTTCGGTGGGTATTGTACCTAAATTCGTCAAAATACCGAATATAGGGAGGTACTGATATATGGAGCCTATACGAAGACCTGGACCTGCATAGACATTTTTCTGTCACAGACTGTAGTTGCCAATACGAACTCTAAATACATAATTTGAAACAATTTCTGTGAATAATGCCGCTAAAATGGTAGGTACCGTTATATGGTCGCTATACGAAGACGTGGACCTGCACAGACAATTTTCTGTCATAGGCTGTAGTATAAATTACGAATCTCAAATACCAAATTTAAAACAATTCCGGTGAATAATGTTGATAAAATCATCAAAATACCGAATATAGGGAGGTACCGTTATATGGGGGCTATACGAAGACGTGGACCTGGCCATATAATTTTTTGTCGTAGGCTGTATTATCAATTTCGAACTTCAAATACCAAAGTTGAAACAATTCCGGTGAATAATGTCGCTAAAATCATCAAAATACCGAATATCGGGAGGTACCGTTATATGGGGGCTATATTAAAATGTGGACTAACATGGTCCATTTATGAACTTAACCTGTCTACTGGAAAAATAAACACTTGTGCAAAATGTTTGCCTTCTATCTCAATTCGCTCGAAAGATAATGTGATTACAACAGACTGACGGACAGACACACAGACGGACATGGCTAAATCGACATAGAATTTTACGCTGATCAAGAATATATATACTTTGTTGGGTCTGACATGAGTATTTCGAGCAGTTACATACGGAATGACAAAGTTAATTTACCCTCCATAGTATGGTGGAGGGTATAAAAAAGAGTCCGGTTATCTGGTGTGAAGATGGAATATATGTGTACACTCCTTCTGCTACCTCCCCCACAAAGGGTCGACATTTTGAATATCCAAAAAGCTCATAAAACGCGAAATTAAAATCCAATTTCATTCCGACTTGGTACATTTCAATATTTCCATCAACAGAAGATCTGTTATAAAGATGGTAGAGATGGGACTATTTCTTCTGGTAGCTCACCCGCAACAGGTTCAAGATTTAAAAAAATGCTCAAAAAACCGATATAAGCATCCAACTCTCTTCAAATTTCACACACACGAACATTTTTGCTAACGTGAAATCTGATATATATCTGCGAACCCCTTCTTGTACTTCAACCACAAAGTGTCACAAGCTTCAATTCTTTTATCTGTCATAATTTGCGAAACAAGTCAGCGATTCTTTACAGCTTGCTATATCTAAATATTTCTCCCAACCAGAAACCTGAGACGAATATGGAACTTATCGGAATTTATGAAAATGGAATACACTGCGACTACATGAGGTACTCAAGCACGTTTTAACATTTTCTACAAATTAGCACATATCTCATAAAAGTGAAGGAAACCTGGCATATCGCAATAATTATATCATATTTATTAAGGTCGACAATATTGGGCCATTGGACAATATTGGCCCATTTTTTCAGAACCTACTCTATAAAGATGTTCAAAAATTTACATAATCCTAACAGAAGTCTAAATATATTTAAATAATCGAATATTGGCTGAGGGTACACATCTGTCGGCAAAACCGACTGATACTTTTTAGATTTTTTTATACCCTCCACCATGCATAGTATGGAGGGTATATTAAGTTCATCATTACGTTTGTAACTCCTCGAAATATTTACGTCAGACCCAACAAAGTATATATATTCTTGAACAGCGTAAAATTCTAAGTCGATTTAGCGATGTCCGTCTGTCTGTCTGTCTGTTGTAATCACGCTATCTTTCGAACGAATTGAGATAGAAGGCTAAAATTTTGCACACGTGTTTATTTTTCCAGTAGGCAGGTTAAGTTCGTAAATATGCCATGTAGGTCTACGTTTTCATATAGCCCCCATATATAAGTACCTTCCGTTATTCGGTATTTTGATGATTTTGGCGACATTATTCACCGGAATTGTTTCAACTTTGGTATTTGAAGTTCGGCTGTAGTATCCATTACAGCCTATGACAAAAAATTGTATGTGCAGGTCCACGTCTTCGTATAGACCCCATATAACGGTACCTCCCAAAATTCGGTATTTTGATGATTTTAGCGTCATTATTTAACGGAATTGTTTCAAATTACGTATTTAGAGTTCGTAATGGAAACTATAGTCTGTGACAGAAAATTGTCTATGCAGGTACAGGTCTTCGTATTCGAATTTCAATATGGTAATGGCTTATGACAAACCAGGCCTACGTAGGTCCATGTCGTATAGACCCCAATATAACGGCTATATTCGGTATTTTTAAAAATTTAACAGAATTTTTTAAAGACTTTATTTTTTGAAAATTTCCAAATTCGTTCCAAATGGTGGAGGGTATTCAAAGTTCGGCCCGGCCGAACTTAGTGCTTTTTAACTTGTTTTTTTTGTTTATTTTTTCCCTGTCTGAATCTTGATTTATCTATGATTTTACAATTGAATAAAATTAATGTCTCCGATATCTATCTTTGCAGCGCCCTTCTACCGGTTACTGAAAACAATGAATATGTTCACAAAATGGGTAATTATATGGTGATTATGAAAACGGCCGATCAGCTTAACAGTGGCGACGAGTTGAAGAAGATTTTCGAAAAAGCCTACGAACGCAACATCATACATATTACGGTGGCTTTGCATGTGGAAAGCTTTACGTTCAACTTCTACACCTACAGCATATTCCAGCCGGGAAAATGCCGAAACGTGGCATTGCAACTAATTAGCCAGTTCAAGGACGGCCGTTTGACAAAGGCGGAATTATTTCCCATGAAGCTACAGAATTTCCATAAATGTCCCATCGACATTTTTGTACGTGTATCCGATCCGTTCTTCAATTACTCGCTTAATGGTGCTGGCAAAGAAATCAAACATTTCTGGGGTTTGGAGGCCAAGATGTTGCAAGTTGTAGCTGAAAAACTAAATTTTAAAATACGCCTGCAAAAATCGAGAGATTGGACCATTGGCAGGTTATACCCAAATGGCACGGCCACGGGTGCCTTTCTGGCAATGTCGCGGGGAAAATTTGATGTCTTGGCTGGTTTTTATCATTCGGCAACTAGGGCGCGTATCTTTGCCGTGAGCATACCCTATATGTTGACATCATCTGTGGTGGTGTATCCCAAGCGAAAGCAATCATTGGCCGAGGGTAGCTGGCTGTTGGCCCCCTTTCAAGGCTCAGTGTGGCTTCTGGTGTTGATTGCGATGATTTTCGCTTTAACCTCAGTCCTGGCACTGCGTTGTGCGTTTAGGAAGACTAATGTAATCCAGAACTCATGGTTGGATGTAGTCGGACTGGTACTGGGAAATGCTAGAAATATACGCTATAGCATTATTGGCTGCTTTGCAACGCTTTGGACATTTGGGTTTGTCATTGTTTGGAGTGCATTTCAGGCAAAGCTGTACGGAGCTTTCCACATCCAGGCCATATCAAGGCCCTACTCCGTGGATAATCTGATAGCCAACAATTATACATTTCACATAAGGCGATACTTCAATGGCGATTTAATCGAGGCCTTGCAAATTCCCCCCGCACAAATCGTGTACACTGATAAGAGGGAAAATCATAGCGATTTCTTCGATCATCTCCACAATCCCCATCCGCATGCCATAATGACTGACTATTTGCTATTTCAGAATTTTCTCAAAACCTATCATTTGTATGACAGTTTTGAAATAGTTCCCCAGATTGTGGTCCTTAATCAATTGTGCGTCTATTTTAAGCCACAATCCATTTTCATGGAACCGTTCGACAGAATTCTAAATGCCATGCATTGTGCCGGTTTGATCAAGAAATGGTTAAGCGATATTTTCGGTCATCCTCACGGGCCCACCTCAAATAAAATGGTACCGAAAACGGTACCAATACCACTTTCATTGGCAAAAATGTCTGTGGTATTTAAAGGCCTATTGATATTGCATGCCGCATCTTTTTTGGTGTTTTTGTGTGAAATTTTTATGCACACTTATTTCAGGCGAATTGAAATATTGAAAAAATGTTAAAATTTTAAGAAGTTAAAAAAATACAGAATAATAAAAGTTTTGTGTGTAATGGAACGATTGTGTACAATGGAATGCTGTATGGATTTGGAAAATAAAAGGGCAAAAAGTGGGCAAAAAATGGATTGGTTTCTTTAGGACTTTGTTTTCCTGGGCTTTTAGGTCATTGTTTATTATAAACAACAATTTAATTAATTTATTTTTATACCCTCCACCATACTATGGAGGGTATATTAACTTTGTCATTCCGTTTGTAACTCCTCGAAATACTCATGTCAGACCCAACAAAGTATATATATTCTTGATCAGCGTAAAATTCTAAGACGATTTAGCCATGTCCGTCTGTCTGTCTGTCTGTTGTAATCACGCCACCTTTCGAACAAATTGAGGTAGAAGGCTAAAATTTTGCACACATGTATATTTTGCCAGTAGGCAGGTTATGTTCGAAAATGGTCCATGTAGGTCCAAGTTATCATATAGCCCCCATATAACGGTACCTCCCGATATTCGGTATTTTGATGATTTTAGCGACATTATTCATCGGAATTGTTTCAAATTTGGCATTTGAAGTTCGTAATGGATTCTACAACCTAAGTCGAAAAATGAGCCATGTAGGTCCACGTCTTCATATAGTCCCCATATAACGGTACCCCCCGAAATTCGGTATTTTGATGATTTTAGCGACATTATTTCCCGAAATTGTTCCAAATTTGGTATTTGAAGTTCGCAATAGATACTGCAGCATAAAGCAGAAAATGGGCCATGTAGGTCCACGTCTTCATATAGCCCCCATATACCGTACCCCCCGATATTCGGTATTTTGATGATTTTACCGGGATTGTTTCAAATTTCGCATGTGAAGTTCGTAATGGATACTTCAGCCCATGCCAAAAATTGTCTGTGCATATAAACAGATTTTTCTTCAAGTTTCGCATTTAAATATTGTAATAATTTATGACAAAAGTTGCCTATGCAGGTCCACGTCGTCGTATAAGCATTCGGTATTTTTAAGATTTTAACAAAATTTTTAACGGATTTTATTTATTTATTTATTTATTTATTTTTTTTTTTTTTTTTTTGTGGAAATTGCCAAATTTGTACCAAGTGGTGTAGGGTATTAAAAGTTCGGCCCGGCCGAACTTACATCTTTTTTACTTGTTATATTTAGATTACTGATGGTATCTGTTTTTGAAATTTAGCGATGGCTTGGAAATGCTTTCTATATTTATTCGAAAAGTACTGAATGGTACTAAATGTGGTATTGGAGGTATAAATAGGTCTGGAACCCTCATATTTAATAAATGAGGACTCTGTTAATACCTGAAATTGAGATATGAAGGAGGTTTTGGAAATGTGTACAATAATTGTGTGAAAATTACTAAATAGTACTAAAATTGGTATTGGGTAAAGGGACAGGGCGGAGACTGTGAAGTTTTATATTCCGATAACGGTTTGTGCCTAGAATTGAGATATGAAAACATTTTGCAAATGAGTACTAAAATTATACAAACAATTCTAGATGTTACTAAACTTGGTATTGGGTGTAGAGATAGATCTGGAATCCTGAAATTTGATATGTTGGTGTCTGTGGTTGAGATAAGGACCATGTTTTGGATATGTATTATAACTGAACTAAATTTTACTAATGGGGGAAATTACTGAGATGAAATCCTGAAATTTTATATTAACGACATTGTTGGTATCGGAAATGGAGAGTGTTTTGAAAATGTTTATTATAAATTTTCGAAAAGTACGAAATAGTACTAAACTTTGTATTGGGTGAATGGTTAGAGCTGGAATCCCTAAATTTGATATTAAGGTCTCTGTTGGTATCTGGGATTGTGATATGGAGGTGATTTTGAAATTGTGTACTATAATTGTACGAAAACTACTAAATAGTACTAAATTATATATTGGGAGAAGGGATAGAGCTGAAACATTGAATTTTTATTGCAATAAATGTTAGTGTCTAGGATGAGGTATGAAACGGTTTTACAAATGAGTACTATAATTATACGAAAAGTACTAAATGTTACTAAACATGGTATTGACTGAATGTATAGAGCTGGAATCCCAATATTTGATATTGAGGTCGCTGTTGGTATACGGTGCATACTATAATGGTAAGAAAAGTATTAAATAGTACTAAATTTGGATCACTGTTAGTTTTACTAATAACAAGTAGGTTATTAAGTTAAATTAAGGATTTTGATTTTTTTTTTTTTTTTGTATATAAAGTTGACATTTTCCTATTATTCTTTCCGAAAAAGTGACAACTTGTATAATATATAAAATTTTGAAAGTCTAAAAATTTAGTACGATGTATGATTTATTTTTTATTTTTTCATTTATTTACTCATTTAGTTTTTTTTTTTTTTTGAATTTTGCAAACTGGCAATATCTGTTCACTCCTTCTGGTCATCCCCGCGAAAGGTCGAACTTCTCCAAAAAAAAAAAAACAGAAAGAGAAATGATAATCCGATCTTGTTCCAACTTTGTAAATCCTAATATTTGCATCAGTGCTAGGTTAGGTATTAAAATGGACAATATCGGTCCACTCCATCAAGTACCTTCTCCACAAAGGGTCAACATATTGAATAATTCTAACTCTTAAAAAATATGATGTAAGATTCCGATTGCCTTAAAATTACACTCATCACATTTTTTTTACCACAAGGTCTGGTGTGAAGATTGAATATATCGGTTCATTCTTTCTGGTACCACCCCCACAAAGGGTCAAAATTTTGAATATACATTGATCTCATAAAACGCGAAATTAACATTCGATTCCATGCAGACTTGGTACATCTCAATATTTCTATCAACACAAGATCTATTATAACGATGGTAGAGATTGGTTAATTTCTTCTGGTAACTCCCCCACAAAGGGCCAAAGTTTTGAATAACCAAAACGATTATAAAATCCGAAATAAGCATCCGGTTCTTTGATATTTCACACATCCCATTATTCCAATTAACACAGCATCTGCTGTGAAGATGTGATTTATCGGTCCACACCTTCTGGAACCCCCCCCCCCCCACACACACACAAAGGATCAAAATTTTGAATATCCATTAAGCTCATAAAACACGAGATTAACATCCGATTCCATTCATACTTTGTACATCTCAAAACTTCCATCAACACAAGAACTGTTGTAAAAATGCTAGAGATTGGACCTCCACATAGCGTTCAAGATTTTGAAAAACAAAACGCTCAAGGAAAGCGAAATAAGCATTCAACGCTCTTCAAATTTCAGGTAGACAAACATTTTTGCTAACACAAGGTTTGCTGTGAAGGTGATATATATCTGCAAGCCCCTTCTGGTCCTCACCCACAAAGGGTCACAGTTTTCAATTCTTTTATCTCTCAAAACTTGTGGAACAAGTCAGCGATAATTTACAACTTGATATACCTAAATATTTCACTCGACCAGAAACCTGAGATAAATATGGAATTAATGTTCGGATATGAATGTTCGATTTTCTTGTAATTTTGCTCATATCTGTATTGAGTGAAGTATGAAAATTGAATACTTCGGTCGACTATATCTGGTACTTCACGCACATTTTAACATTTTCTAAAAATTATCACATGAAGGAAGAGACCTATACAGGATTGCCCATATTCGACGGACCCATGACTCATTGGGCCCATTCCAATCGACGAGGCTTGTCCGCAGGCAACATTCTTTGCGTCAATTTAATTTTGCACGGGAACAAATCAATGCGAATAATCCGTTGTAAAGTGGACCGAGCCATGCCCAACTGCTGAGAACGGCGTTTTTGGGATGTTCTTGGGGACCTCTCAACACTGGCTCGTACGGCAGCGATATTCTCGGCCGATCCCCTTGGTCGACTTTTATATGGCCTCTTCGGATTATAAAGAGCCTTACCAGTCGAAAATTTTTCGTATAAACGCTTAATGGTGTTCTTAGAAGGCGCACTTCTCACATTTTTTAGTGTTTTAAAAGCACGTTGAGTTTTCACAATTGACTTGAATGTAAATTTCAACTATTTCAGAGCGCTCGCGTGGCGTGTATTGGTTCATGGTAAAAATCTGCTTGGACTGACGCTTCAAACGCGGTATGTCATTAAGCGATGTGACATCTCTGTCAAAAGTTATGGCGTTGCCAGATGGGTCCGTCGAATATGGACAACCCTGTATTATCCAAACCTGGCACGTTTCATTATTCATATCATATTTATTTAGGCCCACTACGAAATGAATAATATTGGCCCATTCCTTCGGAACCTATTCCATAGAGGGTCAACATTTTGAATAATCATAATAGAAGGCCCAAGGACGAACCCTATTGAAATTGGAGATAATCGGTCAATATTTAGGTATAGCTCCCATATATATTTTCGCCCGATTTGCCTTATATTGTGCACCACACTTGTAATATCAGCCCAAATAGTATGGAATTTTGCACGTTCGACCAGAAATAAGTATGCCAAATTTGATCGAAATCAGATATAGTTCAGATATAGCTATAGATCCCATATACATTGATCATCCGATTTGTTATTTTTGTCCTCCACAGCCGTAATATGCACTCTGTAACAACAATATTTGGGGTAATATATCAAATACAGCTCAAAAATACATTTGCTAAATTTTATCGAGATCGGTTCATATTTGGATATAGCTCCCATATATAGCTTCGTCCGATTTACCTTTTATTGTGCACCAAATGTCTAATATTTGTTAGATTGAGTCTAGAAGCTAGTATGTTAAATTTGGTGAAGATCGTTTCAGATATAGCTATAGCTGCCATATATATTGTTCATCCAATTTGTTATATTTGTTAACCACAGCCGTAATATGCATTCCGTAACAACGATATTCAGGGAAATATATCTGTAACTCTGTAATATCTTTGCCAAATTTTATCGAGATCGATTCAGATTAGATATATCTCCCATATATATCTTTATCTGATTTCAAATTAATTTTGCACCAAATGGGCAATACAAGTCCGAATTTAAAAGATACAAATGCTTC